TGATAGGAGGGGGGGAGGGGGGGGGGGTCCAAAAATCGTATACTAGGAAATTACCATTTTTTTTTATACCTACAAAATAATATCTGATGTTTGTATTTATAACTATAAAATTATTGTCTGTAATGATTTACCTTTAGATACTTGATTTCTGCTGAATTCAGAATTTAATAATATTTTTTCCGCTGCTATGGACGAGGCACATCTCTCAATTCCGTTTCCTAACTGGCTATATTTGAAAGTATAGATTTGTACAGAATAGAATCAGTATTTTGAGAGCGAAGGAGGACATATAAACCTCTTTGTACTTTCATGCATAATTGTTGGTGTTATAACGTTGATAACATCTAAGAAACTAGATTTATTTAGCACTTTATGAGCAGAGAAATGTTTTAGCTTGTGTTCTATATAGTCTCTGTCTCAAATGCAGTCACGGTCTCACGTCGGTTCCTCGCTGTGTGAGCTGTGTACAATTCAAACTTATATAAATTGTGGATGCTGATTGCGGAGTTAAACTTATATAAACCGTATACAGTATTTCGTAACCGCGATTCCTTCCCTACAACTCTCCCGGCCCTTGCTTTCAGCCTCCACGTACTTTTCACAGTTTTCGGTCTCTGTTAAAATAATTAAGGGGTTCCCCGCTCAACCAGGGACTTTTAACAGGAATTTGTCAGAAAAACGGGCTTAATTCATTTCAAGGGGGGGGGGGGGGTGATCACTGATCCCCCCCCCCCCCCACTTTTGGTGCAGAACTGAGAAATTCCTGGAAATTATATATGTTTTCACTTCTCACAAGGAAGGGATAAGTAATTATTACAAATCTTCGTATTTTATCAAAAGATTAAAAGTAAGAATAACGAACGGTTTAGGCAGCAGTATAATAGATATGTTTTACATATACATTTGAAAAAAGAATATCATAGGATTATAGTTCAAATTTGTCACTTTTAACTTTTATAATACCATGCGTGGAAAAAGACCTTCCATATATCAGACTGAGGATAAAACTTTAGAGTCAAAGAAAGATTTAACTGCTCGTTCTTGTGAAACGTGACTTAAGTGGACTTTCAGTGAATCCCATTTGATCGAGTTGCAACAAGCCTAATTATATAACGTAGGTACTCCTTTAATCTTTGTCTTGTCAAAAATGATTGATATATCTTTTTCCTAAAATTTAGTAAACTTAAATTGATTTTTTGTGGTTCAGGGACTTACGGATTTTTGCAGCAGACAATTGGAACAAGGGCGTATACTGGGGGGGGGGGGCAAGGGGGGCAGTGCCCTTCTAGACCTTTGAAAAGAGGCTAAGCCCCCCCCCCCTAGAACTCAGAGCTATCACACTTAAACTGAAGAGTGAAGACCGAATTCCCCCCATCACAAAAAATACATATTATTGCAGTGCTGTAACCTAATTTTCCCTTTTAAGTTCACAGAGTTTTGTTTGTAGGAGAGATAAAGTAGTACTTAAGTAAGCAATTGCAAGATGATGTGTACCTTTATACTTGTGCGACTTTTGCCTGATATCCAAGAAGCTAAATGTTCTGAATTTACAGTTCAAACTTTGCCCCCCCCCCCCTAGGAGCTCCTAGGGGTGGGGGGCAAAGTAAAGAATTTCAAAAAGGAAAATTACAATATAAAAGAATGTATACAAATTTTCAATAACAGACAATTTCGTAAAATGAATACCAAAACCCATAAAAAAGTATGCCTGATCGTCTATGAAGCCAAATATTTTGAATTTACAGTTAAAATTTTGCAAAAAAATAAATTCGCTTCGTGTAATTTTTGGCCCTAAACTTGTTTCTTTATACATCCAAATCTTTTAATATATACTATTTTAAGATTATATTTCCAGCAGAGGCCATGATGCAACCCTCCCTCAAATTGTTGTTTTCAAAGAGTTTCAGGTCGTCATTAAAATCTCGTCCTTTGTGGGTAAGCCAATCCTGTATCTATAACTCTTTAAATGAAAGAGCATGAAACTCCGCGGACACGTTGATACAGCTCTGAAGTACACTCTAAATAGGTTTACTTCACTAGAGATCAATTTTTTTTGACCAATTCTACCGGCCCATAATTGTGTCGATGTTCAATTCAAACCAATTGGCTTAGTTACTCAAATTGTTTTTTTAAACATTGTAACATTTTAAATTAACATTCTTTCTCTGAACTTTGCTTAAACACTGTGAATCTTTAGAACAAAATGGAAGAGATTTTTTGTCTCAGGAAGACGACATTCATATGAAGGAATATAAAAAACTTAAAGGAATTGAGTCCTTGCCACAAATTCTGTTTTTCTAATCCCTATATCTTTTGAACCCAATGTCGTAAACCTTTGATATTTCAAACTTATATTATTTGATCTAACAGAAGTCATAGTTTAAAATGTCAAATGTCTACAACATTGGACTGCAAAGATATAGGAATTAGAAAATCAGAGTTTGTGACAAAAAGCTAAGAACATTCCCGTGATTATACATTATGATTTTGATTCAGGATACTCATGAGATATCTCTCTATATTTACTACTTCGATATAAAGTACAACAACTCAAGATAAAGTGTAAATTGCATGTAAGAAAAAAATCTTAAATGTTTTTAATCATAACTCCTCTTACTAAAGAGCTTTTGAGAAAACATGAACAAGTATTTAACCAGTTTTGTCGTACTTAAAATGCGTATAAAATACAAACTAGAGGGGCGATAATGTAAATTTTACCTTGTTTGTAGTGATAAGCTATATTGAATCAGAGTTAAAATTTCATATCATAATTTCCACAACTTTCTTCGAACTGACTCTTTTCTGAATTGTAATAATGAAGTTAAGTAAATTGAAAAGAAGGAGTTAGGACAAAATCAAAACAATTTAACGTTATCAAGTTCTCATGCGACCGGATTTAATGAGCTTAGTGATTCAGGATTTGTCCATATCATATTAATAGTAACTACATTGCAGAACTACAGATAGGTATATCCCCGTCCCCATTGGTCCTGAGAAAACCCAGGCATGATGCTGCAATATGATTGGATGCAGAGTTTAAACTTAACCCCAGATGCATTTCTAGCTCTAGCTGGAGAAAAGTACTTGAGTTTAGAAACAAAGGATTAGGAGAGGAGAGAGAGGATACTCGTGTTATAGATCCCAAGGGAGGGACAATGATTAGTAGTATAGTAGTAACTGTCCCAACAAGGGGGGGGGGGGTACACACTATACTCAGTATTGACAAACTGAGTCATCTTATTGGATTACATCCCAGGAGATGTTAAACATGAGATGGGTTTTCTACAATTTCTCTCCACTTTTGAAATATCAAAATATTTTTGCAATATTTGTTACAGCTTTATTTTTTTAGCGAGAAGATACAGAGATTCTGAGATTACAGAAAAGATTATAAAATGCATGGATAAAGCAGAGGATTTTGAAGGGGACAGAATATCAGAACATGTTGAAGCAAAAATATTGTATGATAGGAGAATGAACTGAGCACCTGTACTTTTATGGACATTACAGAAAAAGACATTTCATGGATGGACATTTCATAAATTGGACATTTTATAGATAAAAACATTTCATAGAAAAAGTGGAACCCATAAAATTGTGGAAGAGTAAGACGGCATTAAAGCAATCATATGTGTATCTGATGTGGTATAAAGTATATGAATAGTTTTACCGATAGCTTGAAAATATACTTTTAGAATTAAATGGGTCTGTGTACTCTGCACAATTGCTTTGCACACAGTCATAACTTGAGTCCAACAGTCGTCTTCATTTTTCACAGTTTTATGGGTCTTCCTTTAGCGAAGACCATATATAAGATGTGTATTCCTGTATCGTAAAAATAACGATATATCAAGAAAGATAGTTCTATTTTAGGAAAATTATTTACCTAAAATATTAAAAATCTTCTTTGTATAAAAAATATTTCCTGTCTCTAAAATATCTTTCTCTTTCCATACCTTTTACAAGTTGGCAGTCACCTAACAGTTTACAGTTTTTTTTCTAAAACATGTTTAAGTAAACATTGAAAATTTAACTTATATTTAACTGTTTTTAAAATATATGAATCAATAAGCAAATCTTTTCAGTCCAAAAGTTCCTCTCCTACAACTAATGGATCTAAAAGAGTAAAAAGCAAGAATCTAAATAAAGACAGATCCCTGTTCCTGGAGGTAGGGAAGTATTTGTTACATTGAAACCACATAGTCCAAACTTCAAGAGAAAATATTGAAATTAACTAAAGATATACTGAGAAAAAGGAGGTTATTGGAAGGAAGTGGAGCTCTATAAGTTTATTTAAGTTAGCTGTTGCAATAACTGTAACTTTGGTTGCTGCTGCTATTCTGATTAAATTAAAGAAAATTGGTCAAAATATAGATTTATCCCGTAACAATTCTAATAATCAGCTTGTTATATCTGATTCGTCTAAGCCAAGGCAGCAGACCGTAGGATTATATAAAACTTCAAGAAGGATAAAAAAGCTGAACAGAGATGATCAAAAACTGGATTTTAATTTTCATTTACACTAAACCAATAACTCACCTCCACTAAA